TTTTTCTGAACTCCCTTCCAGTGCTAGAGGTGCTGGTTAGAGCAGACACCGCTAGCACCTGAGGGGAGGCTCCATCTATTGGTAGGGAGCAACACCTGGTGGAAAACGGGTCCAGCGTCCCTGATACAGACAAAATTTTGTGGTATGTCAGGAAAAAGTAGTGGGAATCTCCTGCCAGCATTGATTGCTCTGGAATCCAGAGGATTGACTGAGCAGGAGGTCTTGAAAGAAGGAAAGGAGCCTCTTCGCCTTGAACCAGGTGCCAGATGTCTGCTACTAAAACTTGCTCTTCTCCTTCTGCCCCTTCCCAATTATTGTCTCAAATATCTTGAATATTCAAGGGCCCAACGTCCCTTTGCTGGAAAACGGGTCCAGCGTCCCTTATACTGTGATTGCTTTGTCCTCCAAGGATGTAACTGTGCGGGAGTCTTCAGACAACACCGGACCGTCGGATCAGTCGTGCTTTTCTGGCTACTTCTTGTGTTACTTGTCAACCCGCTGCTTCCTTTCTCAGGCCTGTCAGTCCTTAGTCCTGCGTGAGTCCTTGTTCATTCTGCACCATACCATTGAATGCCGACCATCGCCAATTGGTGGGGTGGGAACGGGTCGGGGAAGTTTGTAGGTGGTCGTAGCGGTATCTCCTGTCCCACCGTAGTCCAGTCCTTGAAGTTGATCACGCAGTCCTGGTCGCGTTCCTGGGCAGGCTTGCCGTCCCAACGGACAACAGCGATCCAGCCCCCGTTCACATTGCCCAACCAGTCCCCGGAGAATTGCCGAATTGTTTGTGTTATGTCCTTTGGTGTATGCAACAGCTCTAGTTGGTTCTTCACTTTTTGCCACTGTACACGGAGTTCTTGTTGTATGTATTGCTTTATCATGTCTGATACCTCTTCCCCGGCTATGCGGACCCCCTCTATTGCGTGAATGCAACGTTTTCTCCAAAGGGCCCACATGACTGCTCTCCGCCCTAACTTGAACATATTATTTTTGAAGACATTGTCAGTGGGGGAGGACCAGGTCTCGCACAGTATGGCTCTCCAGTCCCATGGGCAATCAGAGCCGGTATCCAGTTTAGACCAGATTCTGTCCCACCACCGCCACGGACATTGCATGAATCTCTATTGTTTCCGGTAATCTGCGGGAGGGGAAGGCGGTGTGGCACGATCTGCACCATGGTAGTGCCCGACCCCTCTGCTCTAGATATGTACGGTCTATCAGCAAATCATTTGTGGGCAGGCAACGATGTTCTATCTGCCATTGCAGTGAGGCCATCTTCGCTGGCCTGGACCTTGTGGCAGAGAACCATCGAATGGGGCGGATTGCCTCTGTTCCTACATTCAGATGAGATCTCCATCGGGCCTTCATTGTTTCTTTAATATGCACTTTTGGGCGCAGCAGGCGATAGGAAGCTTTCACCGTCAAGATGTGTGGTTTTAATCTCTCCCCCGTCGTACGTGTTTGTGGGCGGGACCACTGCCATTCCTCGGGATCAAAAGGAAGTTCTGCTATAGGAATGTCTGGCTGATATACGATCCACGCATCTTTGTCCTGCAGCACACGGATTCTGTGTAGATCTGTACTAGTGTACTCTTCCACATTAGTACCGACCAACCTAGTTTTGACGGACAGGAAGTGCCTCCCTCCCTCGACAATTCCCTTAGCGGCAAGCCCCTAAACAGGTTACAGGGTCAATACCCCGGTGTCGGCTATGTCGGACGGTCTGGTTATGCCTTCCACCCTCGGCATAGCTCCATAGGCCTCAAGCTCCCCCTAGGTCACAGAGCAAAAGATCCAGCACCGGCCTGTGTCATCCCAGCATTGTCCTTCTAACCTACTCGCCTTAACAAACAACCTTCCTCTGTTGAGAGCCCCCTTACTACCATCCAGCCTCCAATTCTAGCTTCCCCTCCTTTTCCACCCTTTTTTTTTTCCCCTAACACTCTAAAGCAAAACGCGGGTCTCGCGTGACGGTCCCGCGAGAACCCGCTTCCACTGTTGGGAAATGCGGTGGGACAGGCAGTGGTGGGCCCAATGAATTGCCGCGGCGGTCGGGCGGGCGGGCAGGTTGGGCGGCTTGACAGGCAGCGGTGGGCCCAATCAATTGCCACGGTGGTCGGGATTGGCGGGCGGGCAGGTTGGGCGGCCTGATTCTCGAAAGTCCTATCGCCCGTCCGACCTGCCAATCTGGATGGCGTGATATAACTTTCGGGAATCAGCGCGTGCTCAATTCCCGAAGATTTTATCGACCCGTCCGACTTGCCTGCCCGCCAATCTCGACGGTTGAGAGTGTTCGTTGGAGTCTTCGATATGCGTCGCGCTTTGTGGTGTTTGACCGGACGCTTCGACGTTTTGACGCTCGCTTACTTTGACGTGCATGCTTGAGAGAGAGAGAGAGAGAGAGAGAGAGAGAATCAAAGGGGAGCTTCGACGTGCCGCGTGTTTCGACGTTTCAATCGGGAGGTTTGGCTTGAAAGAGAGACTCTGAGAGAGAGAGAGAGACGATCAAAGGAGAAGAGAACAAGAAGACGATATGGCCGATGAAGGTGAGTTCATTGATCATCTTTTTTTTTTTTTTCCCCTTACTATCTTTGTGT